CTTCCAGGTCGGCGACCTCATTTTGAAGGAAGTCCTTCTCGGTACTAGGGAACCAAGTGCAAGAGTTTTGGGACCAAACTGGGAAGGCCCATACCACATCGCCAAAGTGATAAGACCGAAGACTTACCATCTCAAAAGAATGAATGGTTCTGTAGTGCCGTGAGCTTGGAATGCTGAACATCTCCGACCATATTATCAGTAATTTCGAACTCAATTTTTCCTTGTAAAGATTTTATTTTTCATAATCTTTGTAAATAACAAGTGTAATTCAGTTCTTTTCTAATCACTTTTTATATGTATAATTCTGTTCGCATAGTAGTTCCATTCGCATGGACTTGTTCCAATGTAATTGTTAACGGTTAGAAGACGATCTCATATGTATATATGGCATAAAAATTGTAAGTACTCAAAAGATAAAGAAAGCAATGTTTTTATTCATTGAGAGTGAAAGTACATAAGCGAACTAAAGAAGGCCCCAAAAGTAAAAGCATTCATTGGCCTTCGTCCGGAGGCACGACCTCCTCGTTCGCAGGCTGGTCGTTGATCACCTGGCTGGCCATAGGCTCGGGGGTATACCCCTAATACTCTCCCTCGGCAGGTCCCTCGGCGGCCTCTGTCGCATCCTCATTGTCAAGCCGCGCCATGGATATAAGGATCTCCTGGTACTCCTTCTGGAGGTCGGACATATTCAGCTCGGGATTCTTTGGCTGAAGGGCATAGATGGACTGGATGGTCCATTCAGCGGCCTTCGACTCGATCTCTGTCTCTTGACGCTGCATCTCTTCAATCAGCGAAGTGACTCTTTCTTGACTAGCTTGGAGCTCAGCCTCAAGCGCTTGCCTTTGCTTCTCGGTGGCCTCCCACAGCTCGACCCTCTCCTGCTCTGCTCACAGGGCTCGTTCAGAGGTCGTTTTCAGCTCTTAGTTTTTCTCACCACCTTCTCTGGTGAGTCTGGCCACTGTCCTCTGAAGCTATTTTATCTACTCTCCATGCTTCTTTAGCTCGGCTTTCTGGAAGTCCACCGTGCGAAGAGCAGTGTTCCTCTCATTCAGGTACTGGTTCGTCGAAGCGGTGGATAAGTCTTTCTCTGCTTTAGCGGCTTCCAAGTCCCGTTTGAGCCTAGTGTTCTCTTCTCTCAGCACGATCATCTCCTCAACGGCTCCCAGTTGGACCTTTTGTAGGGACAGTTATATGGAAAGCAGGGCCTGCGAACAGAAAAGCAACAAGTTAGTTTCTTCGCTACTAAAACGAAACAAAGTCCTCGCCGAGGACAACTCGTTCTACCTTGCTCAGGTACTGAATGGATGTGGACATTAGTTCCACAGAACCAGAAGACATGAACTCCTTAAAGGCCTCTGCGAGCCCGCATTCCAGGAGGGTAAAAACCACCAGCTGCAGATGGTCCGGAAGTTGTACCATTGAGTCAAGCACAGGAGTGCCCGTGCCCACGCCTCCAGCAAGAGTCGTGTCACCCACTGGTTCTTTGCCTGGCCTCCTCCTAGGGTCTGCGACCCCGCTCTGCCCTGCTCGAGGTGCGACCGACTCCCAAACCAATGGCAACGCCGGTCGCACCTCCAGCAGACCCTCCTGAGCGGAACGCTTGGTAGGGCTGCGACCTCCGGGGTTGAAATCCCAAGTCCTCCGGTTCGGAGTCTGATTCTTCAGTTTGAATCTACCTCCTCTTCTTCGGTCGTTGGGCTGTCGTCTTCTGCCTTGGGCGAACAACCATGGGCTGGGGAACGCTCGCAGATTTGGCCGGAGCACCAACCGGCGCCCTTCTGACGGGGTGATCGCTGGGAGCAGCTCTACTCGATCCGGTGGCCCCCACCTGGGGGAAGGTGAAACTACCTCTGTCGTGGCGATCTGGGCACCTTCGGAGGCATGGTCACTGCATGAGAACGTCGTTAGCAAAACAGTTTGGTGCATGCTCGAATAAAAAAATGACCAAAGTTGCGAAGCTCACTCGGTAGGGGCTCTAGGGTCGCTTCCGAATTGAAGAAACCGTACTTCCACAGGTTTGCGGTTGTCACGAGCAATCTAGCGTCGCGACTTTCTTCGGGCAAAAAGCCGAAGGCAATTATCCTGTCTGGATCCGTGAAGAGCTCTAAACTGGTCGTTTTGTTAAATGCAAAGAAAATAAGAGCTCGTTAGCAAAATGAGCAACCGATGGACAATCATCGCATGACGACTGTTGAAAGCAAAAAAATCAAAAATAGAAGAAGGTAATCATCTTTACCTCTTGAAATTAGAAAACTGACCCTTCTGCTCCAAATATCAAACGGACACCAGTCTGGGAGGCAAAGAATCAAGGCTCACGAAAGTTTCTTGCTCTCTTTGAGAATGAAAGTATTTTGACTTTGCCTGAAAAGAGTTTAGGGTTTTATAGTGAAGGAAGTGGCCCTTTGGTTTCCTAAAATCAAATAACGTTTGGGCGAAAAACACATCTGACCGTTGATCACGACCACGTGTCACGAATCAACGACGAAGAGTGACCATCATGCCTCAAGAAACCAAATCGTCGCTCTTTTCCGTTAAAAAACTCAAGCGACGGCACGTTCTCCCTCCTCCACATTAAGTGCGCCCACTTCCGTATTTAATGCTCTGATAGAGAATGTCGTTTCAGCATGGCTGGCACTTATTGCGCATAATACACGTCTGTCAGAATAAAAGGTATTTCATTGAATGCACCTGCAACAAAAGCGTAACAGAAAACATCTGAAGAGCTCGTTATGAAAAACACTCTTCGTCTTATCACTCGCGAAGCGACATGATTATTCGACCTCATCTCACGTCGATCGCGAAGTGACGTAACATCAGCTGCGAAGCAGCGTGACCATTTATCCTCTTGAAAGCTGCTAAGTGTAAACGGGTCGGGAATTCCATCCAGGTCGAAATCATCATTATAGCACTGGGTACCTAAAACCAAGTCGCTGACTCTAAGGGCAAAGATTATCCCAGGTTGCATGCGAGGAAATGTCCTCCTGACCACCCTTGCAATTAGGTCGGTTCGACTAGCATCTCGTCAAACACATCAAATCGAGGCATAATTATGTAATTTCCAAGGTTCGACTCTTAAACCTTAAAAACTAGGGGACTTCTGTTATGTCTGAAAAAGTAGGGAGCCCGGTCAGCGTATATGGCCGGGTCTATGCAGATCCTACAGCCATTTAGATGTAGTCACGTCGTATGCTAGCGTGAGCAGCATGCTCTTGCCAATGTAGTAGGTGCGCGCTAGACTAATGAAAGGCTGGAGGCCGTCAACGTGTCCAATCCCTGCACAAACAGAGGAAATCACTCGAGTAGGTGAGCAATGAGACACAAAAGAGGATTTGCACGATATCTGCCCTCTTTTTACGGATTAAGTAATGATGACCTCAATGTATTTCACTATAAATAGAGAGCTTTTCTCCCGTTTGTGGGATTCGCTCATTTTTACTCTTGATTAGCTAATTTCTCTCTGCAATATCTTACTCTCTCTCATTTGTTTTCTCAATACTCTAAAGTCAGTTCACTAAGCCACGACCTGATCCTTTAAATATAAATACAATATCAGTGGAAGTAGGAGTCGCTTGCTTAAGCATCCGAACCACTTTAAAACATTGTTTCTTCACCCATTATTCACTTCACTATCCCCATTATCGTGTGTCATTTGGGCCGACTTAGTATTTCACACGTGCGTTTAATTGGTGTCAAAATCACGCATCAACAGTAACTAACCAATAAATTTCTATTGGTTTGCCTTATAAGAGGTTTTTTTTTTTTTTTTTTTTTCTTTTGGTGACGGGAGAGTTTGAGCTAGTTTACGTACACCTCAACTAATTCTTGGAATTCATTAAACATCCTATAAGCTTAATGTGTCAGGTAAGTCAATAATATTGTAAGTGGTCACTTGATGAGACTTGAACACAAGACTTCTGGGTAACTTAAGGTCCTGTCATTCGACTACAATTTAAGTGGTTCTTATAATAGGGTTTTACAAATAAATTATTTTTCAATTCACAAAAAAAAAAAAAAAAAAAAAACTACTTAATATAATTTCCCAATATTAAAAATTGAGAAATAATTTACAAATATGACTTTATATGCAACTGATAAATTATTTCAGTATTAAGATTCTATATTTTAAAGACTTTAAGATGACTGATTTATCCAATTTGTGTATATGGCAGCATTCTGCTACACATGGATTTACAACAGCAGTATTATTATTTTAATATGCACTCATGTAATAAATGTATATTAAAAAGAAAATCCTTCTCGAAAATCTCACGTTTAATTTTATACCATATGTTTAGTCCATACTTGATATTATTAATGATAACCTTATCCCCTCAACAAATTCATGGGTTATAATAGATAGCCTTAATCTTAATTAAGATACTTAATAAATCCATGATTAATTAAGATTTCTAGAAATTTATAGTATTTTCTATGACGTGGTTTAATTTAAGAATAATATTACACTGACAAATATTTCTCACTAACTTTCTCTCACAACATGACATGTCAGCTCACAATTGGTTAGTTCGCATAGGTCTTGCTTATCCAATAATGAATCTTGCTTAACCAAGTTAATTTCGAGCTGCCACATAGGTTAGTGAGAGGTGTTAGTGAGGCTAATATTAATATTACTGTTAATTTAATAAATTATTACAAGTCTTCCTTCACCTGCCCTTGTCCTTTTTTCATATATTTTTCTCCATAATAATAATTAATTATTTAGCAAAAGGGAAAAAAGAAAAAAATAAATATGGCCGTTAGAGGATTTGAAAAAAAAAAAACCCCTCAGAAAGCTATGTTGAAACGCATGGCCACGATTTCAACGTGTTTAAATCAGCACCGTTAATGAAACCAAACATGCTCGAACTATAACCATAGGGTTTGAAACTCCATTGTCCGCCCCTTTATGTTTGAATAGCTCTTTAGACCGTTTTATTCTTTCTCTCTATCTCTCTCTAAAGAAACTCTCTCTTTCTTTCTCATATTTTTTTTTTAATTTTATTTTAAATTTTTCAAAATTTAAGTGCACTTGCAGATCAATTTCTTCTCTAGCTTCACTTTGGATCTGCAAATGCGCACCGTCTTGTTCTCCCCACCGACTTCTTCTAAATTTCGAATCTTGAAGCTGTGTAAGGTGAGTGCTTTAGGGTTTCATTTCATGAATTTGAATTTTCTTCGTTGATCTTGATATTTTCTCGTTTTTGATTAAAAAATAACTCTCCCTGATCCTTCTTTCTGTGTTTTGAAGCTCTGTGAAATTTGAATTTTTTAAAGTTAGTTGGTAGGTCATGTAGGGTTTAATTGTTGAATTTGAAATTGCAGTCTTTCATCACGATCTTTGATTTAAACTTGTGAAATTTTAACGAGAATTTGTGGGTTTTAATACTTTTTAGGTGAGTTTTAAATTCCACGCCCTTCTATATAGTTGAATATTATAATTTAGCAATCTAAGCTTAGATCAACATTTCTTTATAGAATATGGAATTCTAGTACTTAGTATGTTTTTTAATTGTTTTGTAAATGGTGGATTTCTTGTCTTAAAGTTTAGGTTATAATTTGTTCCATTCAGTGATCTGAATAACTTGAATGTTAACATATTTGGTTCACTTTCCTGGATTTGGGTTTCTGTGCTTAGTGTCTCTTTTTTCTTAAATCTGTTAAATTATGATGTAACCGTCGGTTCTAATGGAAAGAAACTAGGAAAAATGTTCCGCTTTCATGATTTGAATCTTTTGCAAACTCAAATGATATGATTCTATGTAACTGATTTTCCTTTTGTTGAGTTAATAATTCAAATTTGCTGATACTATGATTGATCATTTCTGAAAGGAGTTATTAATGCTTCTGGTTTGAAATTTGTGGACTGACTGAGTAAACTACTAGGGCTTTAGCTGGTAAAATATTAGTGTTGCATTTCAAATGATTAGAAGGTTTTCGATGCAATTATTTGTAGTATGAATCCTGTGGTTGATTAATTTAAGCCCAAGGTTTACAGAAAGCCTAAGGTATGGAGAGTGCCATTTGTGATATTAGTTGTTATGGTAGGGTATATATTTCATTTTGATGGTGATTGATGTTACCGATTACTATCTTTCTATGTTGAATTGCAAATTAGTGCTGATTTATGTTAAGCTTTTAGATTATGTTCTCTGAGAAGTACCTTTCTATCCAATCACCTTGGAGTTTTAATAGTCAACTTGACTTGTATACGTAAGGCAATTATTGTTTGCTGATTCTGATTACATCTTTTCTTATTCATGTCAGCCTGCAGTTTTGTGCGCAAGGGAATTTTTACCATTTTTTAGGTAGATTTATAATGATTTGGAGAGCACATAAGGGGGAAAATTGTCATAAAGTAGGAATTGGGATATGCAGCTTTATTTTTTTGTCAAGCAACTATGGAAAGTAACAGAATAATATCTACTCCTTCAGATGGGCTTAGTGATGGTAGTCAGAGAATGCGATCTCTGCATGGGTAATTTCTTAAAAGCATCAAGTATTAGTATTTTACTTTTAGTCTCATGTACTATCACATTGTATATTTGGTCTTTTAAACCTCTTATAACATTCTTCAATTCAGGTTTAAGTTTTAAGCTGTTTTAAGTTGGTTTTGGGCTTGCTTTACTACTTTAGCTAAAAGACATGACTGCTGATCCACATTTACAATCTGTACTCTCTTCCATTTATTTCATTCTCATGGTTTAAGCATATAAATGAAAAGCTTTTAAGAGTTGTAAATAGTTTTTGTGAAGAAGATTTCTCTATGATTTCAAAATTGGAACCTTTGTTGAAAAATATTAGATGGGAAGGTTCTTGTTATTAAAATCCTGACATTAAATTAACTCTTTTATAGGAGGACTAGTGGCCCTACAAGGCGTTCCACAAAAGGGCAATGGACCCCTGAAGAGGTGAATATGTACTTTTCTATTTATATTTATTTATCTTTCTTTAGATTTTCAGCATCCTTCCATCTTCCTTGAGATTTTTAAATGTTAATTTATGTGATCTTATGATGATATAAATATCAACTTTTATATTTATGTGTTGAAGATGTTCAATCTCAAAATCTTTGCATTTGATTCATGTCATATTGCCCTTTTTTTTTTTACACATAATGACTATTCAGTATGATACCATCAGAGAGAGACCATGAAATTATACGAGCATAACGCATAAAGATTTTATAACATTCAGATTAGCTTTATTTTTTAGATGTTTCATCTTTGAACTTGTAATAAAAAATTTAACTTCAAGGGCTATTATATTTACCCATGTACAGGGCTGTTCAAATTTGTTTTGTTTTTTTGTTTTTTTTTTTGTTTTTTTTAACAAGATAGTTTTTGCATATGTTCAGGATGAGATATTGCGGAAGGCTGTTCAGCGATTCAAGGGAAAGAATTGGAAGAAAATTGGTATGAATATGGAAGTAATAAGTTTATGTCTGTCATTATCTCAGGCTCAGCCAAGTTACTCTCATTTCCCTGTTTTGCTGTCTCTTGATTCTTCGATATGCTTGTATATTATACACATTGTCTAATTGTAGTTTGTGTGTTCTTTCAGCTGAATGTTTCAAGGACCGGACGGATGTACAGTGCTTACATAGGTGGCAGAAAGTCTTGAATCCAGAACTTGTTAAAGGTCCATGGTCTAAAGAGGTAATTTATTATAGTTTGTTATTTCTGTATTAATTGCTTCCCTGTGGTGTTATGCCAACTTATGAATTCACTTGTGCTACATAGGTGTATGTTTGGACATTGCCAATTAATTGTTTAAATTGTAAACAGGAGGATGAAATAATAATAGAATTGGTGAACAAGTTTGGGCCAAAAAAGTGGTCCACAATTGCTCAGCATTTACCAGGGCGTATTGGAAAGCAATGCAGGGAAAGGTATGGAATAGATCTTCTTCTGGCTGACTGTATACGTTTCATCCTTTCACTTTGATCTGATCTGTTTCCTAATCCTCAATGAATGCTATTTTAGGTGGCATAATCATCTTAACCCCTCCATAAACAAAGAGGCATGGACTCAAGAAGAGGAGCTGGCTTTAATTCGTGCACATCAGATTTATGGGAACAGATGGGCAGAGCTAACAAAGTTCTTGCCAGGAAGGTAATTTCACTTCTTAGTTGAAGCAGATGAAGCAACTTATTGTATTTCTTTGATTTTGGCTCAGATTCTTATTGTTCCTCGTCCCCTCCTCCACCCTTGACCCACAATTGGTGTGGTTTTCTGTTGATGGTTCTTTTATTTAGAAGTTTAAACAGTATCTTTTGCTATAACCAACATGATATGTGATATATCTATGCTTGTGTGGTCTACAGGACAGACAATGCTATAAAAAATCACTGGAACAGCTCTGTGAAAAAGAAATTGGATTCTTACTTGGCATCAGGACTACTAGAGCAATTTCAAGGCCTGCCTCTTGCTGGGCATCATAATCAACCCATGCCCTTATCGTCTTTGAGGATGCAGAGCAGTGGAGATGACAGTTGTCCTAAAGGTGGAGCTGAAGCCGAGGAAATATCAGAATGCAGTCAAAATTCAAATGTTCTTGGTCTCTCTCATTCAACAGGTAATGCAGTTCTGAATACAAGAGAGCAGCTCCTTATAACTGAAGAGTCAAATCTAGCTAAGGATCACAGCTCCAGCCCAGCATCTTGTTCGGAGCAATATTACACATCTCTGGAAGATGTCACATTTTCCATCCCAGAAATACCTTGTGAAGTGGGTTGCTCTTCTAAGTTCCCTGAGCAAAATTTTGTGCATGATGCTGGGACTTTTGCAAGGGATTACCAGTTCAATTTACAGGATTTACCTAATTTATCTTCACTGGACTTGGGGCATCAATCATCAGGGTTGCCAGCTAATTGTACGGATTCTCATGAAAGTCATGAAATGGTCAATGTTCCATATCAAAATTCCGTGGAATTGAGTGCTCCGAGCTCTATAGGTAATCTGGCTGCAGGTTCTGATAAACCAGAGCACATCTTGATAACAGACGATGAATGTTGCAGGGTCTTGTTTGCAGAGGCAATGAAAGATGGATGTTTTTCCTTGGAAAATTTTGCACAAGGGTTGAATATGGTTGAATCATCACTCTGTCGCCCCTTGGACATTCAGATTTCTGAAGGTGGCAGAACCTCACCTTCCCAAGCTTATTGTCCTTCAAAGCCTGAACTATTTGGAACTTCATGTAGTCAATCTTTTCTATCTGCTCCTATGGTACTTTCAACTGACGATGGTGCATTTGTATATGTTAGTGAATCCAATCAGTTGAATTGTCACTCTTATGGAACTCAAGATCAAGAATTCAATACAAGTGGGCATGATGCCTTTATCTATACCAATGAATCTGTCAATTCCCCTTGTGATGATGGTAAAGATAATTCATGCCTGCAAGAGCCATCATATCTTGCAAAGGATTCTTTGAAACTAGTTCCTGCAAATAGTTTCAGTTTGAGATCAGATGCCATGATAGCTTGTCCTTCAGAGCATGCCGAGCCCAACATGCAAACAGAACAGCAGGATGGAGGATCCCTATGCTATGAACCTCCTCGTTTTCCAAGTTTGGATGTTCCTTTCTTTAGTTGTGATCTTATACAATCTGGTGATACGCAGCAAGAATACAGTCCGCTTGGAATACGTCAGCTAATGATGTCATCAATGAACTGCATTACTCCATTTAGGTTATGGGATTCTCCATCTCGGGATGATAGCCCTGAAGCTGTGCTGAAAAGTGCTGCTAAAACTTTTACAGGAACACCATCCATATTGAAGAAACGACACCGTGAGTTGTTGTCACCTTTGTCAGATAGAAGGAACGATAAAAAGCTTGAAATCGACATGACTTCCAGTTTGGCCCGGGATTTTTCTCGTCTAGATGTCATGTTTGATGAGGGTGGTGGGATTCGCAGAGCATCTCTGCTGTCTCCACTGTCAAACCGAATGAGGAACTCTGGAGCCTTCAATGAAGATAAAGAAAATTCGGGTCATGCTTTTGATGATGGACAAGAAAAGGATAAAGATCAATCTGCAGTCTTGCATGACAGAATTTCTGAGAAAGATTGTCATTGCAGTTATTCCGATGCCAACGTAAAGAAAGAATCTGTTGATATTGATTCCAAGACCAATGCTAATGCTGGTGCCACTATCAAAACTGTGAGTTATTTTATTTTTGTTTTGTGCAAGTTCATAATGTTTGCTTCTTTTAATTGTTCTCAATATTAGGGGAAAAGGGAGCAGTGGAAAGGCTACTCTCTCTATAGCATGTTATTTGTTTTCACTGATTGCAGCCATTGGTTTTGATATTTATTAAATGTGCTGAATTCTCAGTGTTGGTGCTATGTGGACTGCAGAAGTCAGACTTTTTAAATTCTTGTTTGTTTTCTATCAGTTGGTTGATTATGTTTCCATTGTTACCTTAAATTTTGCGTCTGTATGTTTGTATGTACATACACATGTTGATTTAGTTCATTCTTTTGACAGGAGAAACAGCCTGCAGGAGTCCTTGTTGAACATAATGTGAATGATCTGCTATTTTCTCCTGATCAAGCTGGTTTAACAGCTGAAAGAGCACTGGCCACTACTGCTCGAACACCAAGAAATCAGTATTTTAAAACCTTTGTAGCTAATCAAGGTGCTGCACCCGAACAGTCACCTGCAAATGCATGCTCTCCAGCAATTTCCAAAAATAACAATGGAAGTAATTCTAGTACAATTAAGACAGTAAAACCCATTCCTTCATTGGCACCACCAGCAAATACGGTTTTTAATGCTGGGAGTGATGTTGGCATCGAAAACTATAACATGTGAGATTTAGTTTCTTTTTTCATTAATATTTATCACTATTAATTCTAAATTTTTTACACCGGTGATATGTGTATCACATCACCTAAACTCTGCTGCACTTTGTCAAGAAATTCTTGCCTTTTGCCTATGATTATATACTGTTAGCAGCTTGGCTGATTGTAAGCTTTTCCAGATTTGGTGAAACTCCATTCAAAAGAAGTATAGAATCCCCTTCAGCATGGAAGTCCCCTTGGTTTATGAACTCTTTTGTGCCTGGTCCAAGGATTGACACTGAAATAACAATTGAGGTACCGAAGTGCTGTTATACTGGTTCTATTCAGTTACTTATGAGACATGTTTTTCAATGTTTGAATTTTTTCTTGTCAGGATATTGGTTATTTTATGAGCCCAGGAGAAAGAAGCTATGATGCCATTGGATTGATGAAACAGTTAAGCGAGCACACTGCTGCTGCATATGCTGATGCCTTGGAGGTCTTAGGAAATGAGACTTCTGAAAAAACAGTAGACGAAGGAAACACTAAAAATTTAAGTTTGGACCAAGAGAACGATCATGTCACCCATAATGAGCAGGAGCTTGACCATTTGGCTTCAAATATTTTGGTATGCCAATTTTTTTTTAATCTATTACGATTCTTCCAAAGGGGAGTCTTTGGTCCCTTACTAATGCAATGGTGAAAATACTGAAAAAATTGTTTACAGCTTTTGTGCTTCTTTCTAATATCAGTTTCTAATGAAATCAAATGTTTACTCTATGTAGATGGAGCGCCGCACCCTTGACTTTAGTGAATGTGGAACCCCTGGGAAAGGAATAGAAAATAGGAAATCCTCAACTGCCATAGACTTCTCAAGCCCCTCCTCATATCTATTGAAAGGTTGCAGGTAGTGATTTCGAAGGGCAAAAGCCTTCTCTACATTGTAGTTTACAAATATATATATAAAATATATATGTGTAAGTTTTTCTTTCTTTTTTTTGAATTTTCCTTTTTGTTCTTATTCCATTTGCTGTTGTAGCAGCTGAATTACAACTTAATTAATTGATTAAAAAAAAAAAAAAATATTGTTCTACTCCATTATGTGGAATTACAAACGGAAGTGCATTTACTTCCAATCTTACATAAATGCTGGGAACAATATATATAGTCTTCAGTAGCTAGTTTGCAAACACGTTCTAACCGCACAGATCAATCACCAGATAACAATCTTGAGATCGATGAACAATTGAAGGCCGAGATGTTAGGGTTTTTGAAGAAGAAGGGGTGGTGAATGCAATGGTGGCGACGAAGGTGATTTCTAGTGAGTGAATCAACCTCAGCTTTTGCTGATGATTGGTGAGGTGAATGGGGGTGGAGTGAGATGTGTTTTGGTCAGGATGCTGAGGAGAGTATTTTCATGGTGATGGGGAGGGTTGTCAACGTCGACGTTGGTGAGATCTAATCGAAATCGATCGATCTCGGCCAGGTTTTGGATAGATTTTATGAGGAATAAGCTCAAGGGATGATTGAGATTGAATTTAATGTGTTTGCTAAATTTCAAACCTATAGGAACTTAACTATAATTTTACCGTCTGGTCAAACTAGTTAAACCGGTCAACTTAGGACCCAACTTTGATGGGTTTCACCGGAGTTGGTTGTTAAAACATTGATAAAGAAGGACTGAACATATTGTTGAGAACAGCAAAGGAATGAACATTTCAATGGAAAGGAATGGATTACCAGAGTCATCGATTCTTGCCCAGAGTAATTATATTACGATTACCAGAGTATTATTTCTTGCTGAATGTTATATTAGAGTTTCCTTAAATTAAAATTAATCTTTGTTCTTTGCATGCAAACGGACACAAACCAGAAGTCATTGTACAGGCCATAAAAAATCGGTTGGACATATGCTGGGACAAAAACATGTTCTGATGACTTTCCTCACTTGAGCATTTTAATTGTACCTCTCTTATTTTTGGAGGTGAAAATTATTACAACAAAACAGAAACAAATGGTAATGCACTAATGTAAATAAACGCGTTTCTGAGAATTGCAAGATGAATATCCCTCCAAGATATTTAAACAACACGAGTAACAGCTGCATGAATAGCATCTGCAAGATGTGGAACTGTCTTGGAACTAAGACCAGCCATGCTTATCCTCCTGCACGTCGAATTTGTGCACGAAAAAAACATAGGATCAGATTCATATTTTTTCCTTGATTTAGAATCAACATATCTTATATCAATATCTAGCATGATTGCCACCTATTTCCTATGATGCAAAGCACATAGATATTACGGAATCTGAATGATCTCCGTGTTCATCTCTGAAGCAAGATTTCTTTTACGGTGGGAGTAAGATAGCTTAAAGTCGAAGAAAATTTCCATTTACTAACGACTGTAAGTAAGATTTCATTTACGTTGGCAGTAAGGTAGGGTGTTAAGATTAATTATCAGTGTCCTCCAAATAAACATAAAACACTGTCATCATCATTAACACTCTCAAGCTTAGAATTCAAAATGCATCAAAGAACAGTGTTTATGATTTTACTACAAGATTTAGTATGAAAAAATAAAATTTAGGATTGATAAAATAAAATTTTTGATCCAATGGCTTAACGTATATAACAGGAGTAAGCAGATATATTCAAGAAAAAAAAAGAAACAGATAGTTACCCATCAGATGTCATATAGATATGGTATTCTTTTGTCATAAAAGTGACTTGCTTAGAGTTCAGTCCAGTGAAAGTAAACATTCCAATCTGCTTAATAATGTGACTCCAATCACCAGGTGTACCTGTCGTATGGAGAAAAGACGTGGAAAAATAAAATAAAAATTCTTCTAAGTTAAGTTGCGATAACGTTTCCTTTTATTTTTCCCCAGTTACAGTGCAGAACAAGATGGCTAGATTGGACCAGCAAAAGACACATTTTGTTCCCATAATAAAACTACAAACTAGGAGGTATAGGATGAAAACAGGATACAAAAAGAAATGTTGGATCTCAATAAATATTGCTCAAAGAAGGTTAATAGGCAGTTAGAAGAAGCATACTGAAAAATTAGGAGTAAATTCATGACCACCAGAAGACAACAAAGGAATATGGGAGACGGCTTTGTGCATGTAAAAAATAAATTTATAAAAGGAAAGGAACGGAAAAATCTCAATCATTGCTTACCCCTAGCACATAAGGCATCACAAAGTTGGTGTCGCATGCTGATGATACGGTCAGCCATTGCCTTCAACTCAATAGTCCATTCACTGTACAGGTTCCTGAAGATGACGCGGAAAACATACTAAAGAGACATATTTCGTGAAAGCATGATATTCATTCAATACCAAACCCTTTTGTTTGATTAGTATACCTTCTGATATCTTTCATTTAATAGAATATAATTTTTTGATTCATACTCTCGTTTTTCAAGTTAAGTCAGGGGTGAAGACTTTTGAATGATTACCTGTCCCTCAGGATGGCAGCAACAATAGATGCACCATGAATGGGTGGGTTTGAATACATAGGCCTGATCACAAGCTTCAGCTGGCTTTCAACCTTGCCTGCCACATCAGCTGTTTTGCAGACCTACAAGAAGATAGAGATTTATAAACTTAACAAATTAACATTAGGGGACAGCTGAAGATGAGGATACTATTTTAGTCAGCAAACAAATAAACAAATGTTGTCCCCTAGCAAAATTGCTCATTTTCATCGGATTAAATAGAGCATCACATGTCCTATGAAAGATGGGAATTATAAATGCAATTTAAAGAAGTTCAATCATTCAGGTCCAATAAAGTGGAGCCTATATCACATAATTCATATAAAAAATTTCAAAATCTACATAGTTAAGAGCATCTACTATATCCTAAGTCTTACAATGCTTAGGGCACCAACACGTTCCCCATAGAGCCCCATGTTCTTGGCATAACTTTGCGCCGCAAGGCATTCACCACCATCAGCAACAAACATACGAACTGATTGTGCATCTGCATCCAGACTTCCACTCGCAAAACCCTATGATAAGAAATCAATTTAGTCCCACTGCAGTTGGTGTTGAACAGATATTAATAATCAATTCAGCCCTAGCTGATAAGAAATCCAACTGTTGGTTGCTTCCGTACTACCCCCAATTGAATTAAAAACATAACTATCTCCAAAGCATTCTGGTGTCTACCTGATAAGCACTATCAAAGAAAGGTAACAACTTCTTTGATCTCATCAACTGCCTGATCTGCTCCCATTGCTGAAGGGTGGGATCAACACCAGTGGGATTATGAGCACAAGCATGAAGGAGCACAATTGCTCCAGCTGGGGCAGAACCAAGATCTTCCAGCAGGCCTATTACCACAATAAAGAAATATTACAAGATGATGATGGACTAATAAGTACAATTTAAACAAACTAGAGCTATCCCTGACACCCAAAAGGCAAGCCACAACAACACTTTTGTGATACACAAGAATGAACATAAAAGGGAAAAGCATTTAATATATTAGATCATAGTCACCAAGACAAAAGAGATAACATTGACAGACAGTTTATAGTTCAGAATCAAACACGTAAATGCAAGTCTACTTATCAACCTTGGAAGTTCAGCCCACGTGTTGCAGGATCATAATAACGGTAAGTTTTCACAGATAATCCTGCCAGAGTAAAGACTTTTGGGTGGTTTCCCCATGTCGGCAGGGGAATGTATATGGTGCGCTGCATAACAAGACAGACAGTTAAAAGATGAACAGAATCCAGAAATAATCACTTACAATGACCAAATAATTATGCAAAAAAGGATCTTACTTGATGATAATGTTTAGCCAAAAATTCAGCTCCAACCCTTAACGAACCAGTACCAGACAAGCACTGAACTGTAGTAACCCGGTTCTCTTGAATAGCGGGGCTATTTTAAAAGGGAAAAAAAAAAATCACGGAAAAGAAATACCAAATATATTAAAAAAATACTGGAACTAACATGAAATATGTGAAGTACCTATCAGCACCAAAAATGAGCTTAGCACTCAATTTGTTGAATTCAGCCAATCCAATAATTGGAAGGTATTCTTTAACACGCGCTCTGCATAACATAACACATCATAAAATTAAAACCAGCAACTTGACAAAACTAAGATTGAAATAATAAAGAATTACAAAACAGAACTTACCTATCATTAACAAGCTGCTGCTCTGCTTTTCTCACAACATTCAAAACAAGAGGCTTTCCTTCCTTTTACAGAAACAAACAAACGACAGAAAACCTCCATATATTTCTTACGGTGTAACAAACAAAAACAAGCACTAGGATAATAAAACCAAACTCACCTCGGTTCGATAAGCTCCCACACCCAGATTCAACTTAACTGGACTCGGATCTTTGTTATATGCAACCGTCACCTATACAGACACATATATTTTTCTTTAAATTATAAAACAAATATATATAAAGACGTAAAAACTATAATTATATACGAGGGAGGTGGATAGAGTAATACGCCGAGAATGGGATCTTCAGGGGCTTGAACAACGTGAGAGAAAACGGAGTCGTGTTGAAAGGCGGAAGTTGGTGAAGGCGAGATTGAATTATCAGTGTCCATGGCTGATGATGATGATGATGAGAGGTGTCTCAACAGAGCATTTAGTCTGCGATCAGTTGGTGAAGAAGCCTGGCCGGTGGGTAATGTAGGCTCCAGGCGCATTTTAGCCTTTGTTTGACTTATTTTAATCGCTCTTTTTCTTTGATAATGATTCTATAGAATCTGTACTACGTTTTGTTTGTAAATTATCGNCAGACACATATATTTTTCTTTAAATTATAAAACAAATATATATAAAGACGTAAAAACTATAATTATATACGAGGGAGTTGGATAGAGTAATACGCCGAGAATGGGATCTTCAGGGGCTTGAACAACGTGGGAGAAAACGGAGTCGTGTTGAAAGGCGGAAGTTGGTGAAGGCGAGATTGAATTATCAGTGTCCATGGCTGATGATGATGATGATGAGAGGTGTCTCAACAGAGCATTTAGTCTGCGATCAGTTGGTGAAGAAGCCTGGCCGGTGGGTAATGTAGGCTCCAGGCGCATTTTAGCCTTTGTTTGACTTATTTTAATCGCTCTTTTTCTTTGATAATGATTCTGTAGAATCTGTACTACGTTTTGTTTGTAAATTACCGCTTGGCTTTAGTTAGTTTTATAAACTTGGAAGATTCAACTTGCTTACGCGGCGAGTGATGGTGGTGACGTTTCAGATTAGAACGGTCCCACTGACGGTGAGGGATAAATGGGCCCAGACTCAGAGAAAGCGGAAGTGTTTGATTGTGAAGGGTGGCGATGAGCTAGGGTGGCACGGTAGTCGAGGTATAGTAATAGTCTGGAAAGATACGTGTCATCTGTGGGGGCCTTCTTGCTCACCTAAAAATTGGCTACTTCTATGATAGGATATGTGCCTCTTACTCAAATTCTTCTTGTTACAAACCATGTACATAAAGAATAAATCATAATACGAATGCAATCAAATAATACGACTTATCGACACATTATCATTTATCCACAAATGTTATCAATAATGGGTCAAATAAACCATTACTGGTTGATCGAATGGTCAACCAGGACGTGAGTATATGTTTATATGACTTAAGAAGCTTTAAATTCGATAAGAAAATGTTAAAACAGAGTTAGACAATGAGGGTAACTGCAGCATGTATTGCATCTACGATATGAGAGACTCCCTTAGAGCTCAGCCCTGCCATGTTAATTCTCCTGCAAATGAACTAAAAATTATTTAGACATAAGAGCCTTTTCCTCCAAAGGTTTACTGGGTTCATTAAAAGTGATATCACTAGTTTGGATCTAATAACGTGATGCAAATCATGAGAATGATCCATTTCCACAAGTGATAGTTTTGTTACCCATCAGATGACATGTAGATGTGGTATTCTCTGGTCATAAAGGCAACCTGTTCTGCATTCAATCCTGTTAAACTATACATTCCGACCTGCCTCATTATGTGGCTCCAGTCACCTGGAGTACCTGCCAAACACACAACATCCATGGCTAACTGATCTAAAGCAAGACAAAACAACATCTCATGAACAACGACAATCAAAACAATATGCGATCAACCAAATTGAAATTTAAACACCAAGCAACATATTTTATTGAGTACGACCATCAAGTTCCTTAGCTTAGTTGTTTAGTTAAGGCCATTAGAAACTGACTGATGGTTTACCTTTATCACGCAAAGCATTGTAGAGTTGCCGGCGCATGTTAGAGATACGATCAGTCATTAGCTTTAACTCATTTGTCCACTGACTCTGCATATCTCTGTAGTTATATAACCGGTCAAGCATCAATAACTCAAAGCAGAAGTTTTACAACATAGATAATAATACATACTTTCATATGCATATTTCTTGCCAAGTTTTTGGGTATAAAAGCATTACCACATCCATAAGTTGAAGTACCTGAATAACTGAATTGAGTAATTCAATACCTATCTTTCAGGATAGCAGTCACAATGGATGCACCATGAATGGGAGGGTTTGAATACATGGGTCTAATCACAAGTTTCAGCTGGCTTTCAACAAGGCTAGCTACATTGGCCGTCTTGCAAACCTGTAAAATAAAATCTATAATCAAATCAAATGATGTATGTAGAAGTGGATTATTCACAAAGCTAACAAAGAACAGGGAGGAAAAGTATCTGTTTGAGATAATAATCCTACAATGTTTTCTACAAAAAAAAAAAAAAAATACTATCAGAATATTTTTGTCAGTCAACAGCTTGTTTCATATGTAAGTGACAAATTGATAGATATAAACTTCTAAGAGATTATTTCAAAGTCTTACAATACTAAGTGCACCAACACGTTCCCCATAGAGTCCCATGTTTTTTGAATAAGACTGAGCTACTAGACATTCACCACCATCAGCAACGAACATGCGAACAGACTGTGCATCAGCATCCAGACTTGCGCTTACAAAACCCTAGTTTATGTAGAGTCCATCACTTATATGTCTTAAGCTCAGGTGGAAACCTGAATTTTTGAGCTTTAACCAAACAATTGCTTACCTGATATGCACAATCGAAATAAGGTAATAACCCTTTCAATCTCATCAGCTGTCTGATTTGCTCCCACTGCTCAAGGGTTGGATCAACTCCTGTAGGGTTATGACCACTTACTTGGAGAAGCACTATGGCTCCAGATGAAGCACCGGCAAGGTCTTCCAACATGCCTTGTCGACCCACCAAAATATGTATATCATGGCAAGATTAGAGGGCATGGGAAATAAAAATGTACAATACCATATCCCATACCAGAACTTGAAGAAGTATATCACAATCACTTCAGATTGTTTGTATTAAACAAATCATGTTGATTTTTAAATTAAAACAAGGCGTTATTACAATAATAAATAAATAAAAATAATTACAAAAGAACATAAGAGAATTGCTCAAATTCCCCATATTACAGTACAAAGTATGAACGATCCCATATAAGTAAATATCAATTAAAAACTGCAGAATGTGGTGCAAATAGACACACACAGCTTTATCTGAATTATATGTTGCAAAGAATGCTAACCTTGAAAGTCCAGCCCATGTGTCAGAGGATCATAGTAACGGTATGTCTTCAAGGACAGCCCAGCTGCGGCCAAAAGATTTGGATGATTTCCATATGTTGGCTGAGATAAGTACACAATGCGCTGCAGAACAATGTAGAAAAGCATATCAACTGCTACCTAATTATAAACCCGAGTAAATGAATAAGGAGAAAAAGAAGAAAAGGAAAGAAAGGAAACGCTTTACTTGGTGGTAATGTTTTGCTAAAAACTCAGCTCCAATCCTCAGTGACCCACTACCAGACAAACACTGGACAGTGATCACTCTATTCTCCTTGATAGCAGGGCTGAATCCAAGCAAATGAAGCATTAAATCAACAAAAGAAAGAGTCTTCATATCTAAAACCAGAGTTCTACCTTATAATTCAAGAGACAACTAAGAGCACCAAAGCTTACCAGATCAAAGTCCCCACATTTGAACAAAGAACAATAATGCAAGTCATAGAGTTAGGAAGCTTTACCACACACACTAGACTTGCAAAATTAAAGAAGACTAATAACTACAGATTAAGAGTTCTGTACCTGTCATCACCAAAAACAAGCTTAGCACTCAACTTATTAAACTCTGGCATTCCAGTAATTGGTAGGTATTCCTTATTCGCAGACCTGAATATCATGAATATCGTAGCTTAATCACTGATCAACACAAAAGTTGTGATCGCTGAAAAAAACTTACAGGTCATTAACTAGTAGCTTCTCAGCTTGCCTAACTACATCAAGAAGAAGAGGTTTTCCTTCCTGTTATATAATGAACAAAGTAAATTCATAAAATTAGCTTTATTAGAAATTAAATATAAAAAAGAAAAGAAAAGCATATTGATCCAAGAGCCAAAGGGCGTGCTACAGCAATTTCAGCAATCGTAAATGTCTTCTTCCTTTCTTTCTTTTTATAGCAGCTCTAAAGCACAAAAATTAGTCACTACCCACCTCCGTACGATAAACACCCATGCCTAAATTCAGCTTAACTGGGCTGGGATCTTCTCTGTAAGCAACCATCACCTGGGCATATAATATAACAGCATCCCCTTAAATAAATTGACGAAAGATAGATATCAAATTCCAAATCCACAGCTTCATAGAATACAGTAAGAGTAGCAAATTGTGGCGCCAAAATTAACTTATCCATTTACAATGGCTCGATTATGTTTCGAGAAATTACCACTTTTGGGCTAGAAAATAAACAAATTNGACCTGAATATCATGAATATCGTAGCTTAATCACTGATCAACACAAAAGTTGTGATCGCTGAAAAAAACTTACAGGTCATTAACTAGGAGCTTCTCAGCTTGCCTAACTACATCAAGAAGAAGAGGTTTTCCTTCCTGTTATATAATGAACAAAGTAAATTCATAAAATTAGCTTTATTAGAAATTAAATATAAAAAAGAAAAGAAAAGCATATTGATCCAAGAGCCAAAGGGCGTGCTACTGCAATTTCAGCAATCGTAAATGTCTTCTTCCTCTCTTTCTTTTTATAGCAGCTCTAAAGCACAAAAATTAGTCAATACCCACCTCCGTACGATAAACACCCATGCCTAAATTCAGCTTAACTGGGCTGGGATCTTCTCTGTAAGCAACCATCACCTGGGCATATAATATAACAGCATCCCCTTAAATAAATTGACGAAAGATAGATATCAAATTCCAAATCCACAGCTTCATAGAATACAGTAAGAGTAGCAAATTGTGGCGCCAAAATTAACTTATCCATTTACAATGGCTCGATTATGTTTCGAGAAATTACCACTTTTGGGCTAGAAAATAAACAAATTAAAATAAAAAGAACGTCATTTTCATCAAAAACATAAGTGCTAAAACAGTGAAAATGAAAGCGAAAGTGAAAGTTACAGCATAGACAGGAATATCTGGAGCTCGAACAACGTTTTTGAAGACAGAATCGCCATCAAACTCATTAGAATTCTTAGACTCCATGGCCGAGAAACAGAGGGAAAGGGGTTTGTGTTCGTGTCAGTCAGTCACTTAAATCCGGAACATGATGCTCAGACATTTTTGGTCACCGCACATGAAGACAAATATGTACGCACTACGTAAATTTTTAAAGAATTTTTTTTTACATATTTTCTGGTTATTTTAAACAAATGATCTTTCTGTTTTGACATATGAAATTTTAACTCCCGAAAAGGAATTTAATATGATTCAACCCCATAAGAATTGCAAGCTACAATATAATTTGAACTATCTCAATAAGCACCAGCTGAAGATAGTTTCTAAATTGCAATATCTGTAGATGGTCTCTGCAACTTTGAATTACAAACTATTCTTGTTGGAATGCCATTGTTTCAGTTTCTGGAAAGTAAAAAATTTCAAAGAAGTTAAAGAACCAAACGTAGTGCTAGATAAAATCCACTGATCCTGATTCTTCATTGTTTCTTCAGCTTTCTGGCCAAACAAAAATGGGTGCATAAAACAGTAATCTGGTTTTCTAGATTATAGAATTAACATATTTTTTGCTGCTTACATTAGGATTTACATTTTTTGTATCGCGTAAAGATAATAACCTTTGTGTGATTTGTAATGCAGGAGCCTTTTATCCCCACTAAATTTGCGTTGGAAAAAAGTAGGGGCTTATGGCTTAGCACCTACAATCATAAATACAAATTTCTACTCTAAAAACATGTCATCTCCCCATCCGAGAAAAAAATCAGATGTCTATAAGTATTCTCAGAATTTAACTAACACTGGTTCTCTGGAAACGCATTCTCAACTCCGCCTTAAAAAATGACCAAAAGCTTTCGTGTGTGTATTCTTCAAGAAAATTCTCACAACTGCTACAAATTTGTCTTGATTCAGCAGGCGAAGTTGAGCTAGGTCCAACCAAAAAGGATTGCATAACTGCACGCATTTCTGGATTATTCCCAGTAGTCCTTGGCTCAGCACCAATAACCCAAAGAAGCATACCCAATGCAATGACATTGATCTGCAAAGTGGATGTGACAAGTATCAGTTACTGAAAGATAACAAAGATAAGTCTTTTGCGCCTATAATGGTAATTTCATTTGCAGACATCTCACAGCAGTTTCATTGTAATTTGCAAGCATTCAAATGACAAAAAACAACCGGTAATAGATAGGAGGTATTAATGTTTTCTGTTCATGTCCAACAACCTACATATCAAACTCAATCTTTCAAATATAACATTTTCATTTATCTGGATTCTCAAAACACCTTTTCTACAAGAAAGAATATTAAGTTAGTATTAGGGGAAACATGATTCTATCAGCAAATAGTTTTATCAACACAAATAACAACGTTATTATTGATTATCCGATTGGAATTAATATCATACAATGCATAGCACAAAACGCATTGTTTTCACTAGATGATCTGAAAAGAANGGTAATAGATAGGAGGTATTAATGTTTTCTGTTCATGTCCAACAACCTACATATCAAACTCAATCTTTCAAATATAACATTTTCATTTATCTGGATTCTCAAAACACCTTTTCTACAAGAAAGAATATTAAGTTAGTATTAGGGGAAACATGATTCTATCAGCAAATAGTTTTATCAACACAAATAACAACGTTATTATTGATTATCCGATTGGAATTAATATCATACATGCATAGCACAAAACGCATTGTTTTCACTAGATGATCTGAAAAAGAATTTTGGATTACCTGTGACACCAAAATCATCCCTATTATTAGTTGACACATCTTCAGATGGAAGACCACAAAACTCTTGAACCTCTTATTGTGGTCAGAAGTGTACTCGGCAATTAGCTGTAACAAATCCAAGAAACATAAGTATCATATACAGCCTATTTCAAAATGTGCAAACAAACTGAGGGTTTGGAGGAAGTAACAAGAATTATTGAAACAGCCATCAGGACGCTATATCAAGACTTTTAGATGGTTCTAGACTCGTATAGTAGATTATGTGCCAAAATAGCTTGATTTGAGGAGTTTTTCCACTGTTTAACTCTTTCCATGTATAAAAATATTGAGAATATTTAGCAGTCTCATAACTTGACAAAATTGTACAATTAATATAACTAGCTAATTTTTTTGGTAAATATTAATCCAAATGAAAATGGTAGTCCTTTATTCTTTCTTAATTGTCAAATTGAGTAAAAAACATTTACCCACCCAAGGTTTGACGAATATATAGTTCCCACCCATGGTTTTCTAAATTGCAAATTCCCACCCAATAGTAAAGTATGCATACAATGTTTGATTACTAAAAGTACTCTGACCCAAAAAAAAAAAAAATAATGGACCTCCAAAGATGATTCCTATGGACTTTTTTCCAAGAAAAAATAGCATAAAGTTCTACTAGTTGTTACTTCCAAACATACATGTATATGTAAAATTATAAGAATAAGAGAAATTTTGTGAACCCTAATGAAACAATGTTGAGGAAGCATACCGATTCCCAGTCTATCCTGAAGAATATTGCAATAACCACAACTGCTTCGATGAAAACCAGGAACAAGATGATAACAATATACTAGTAATTGGTTAAGGATCAACTTGATGGATGAATAAACAATAAGAGAAAAATATCAATAAATTCTGAAAAAACATAGTTTATGCCCATTAGTTTCTATATGAAATTATCTTCTCCAAAGTAGTGACTTGAACATTCTCATTACCTCAGACAAAACTGTGGAAACTTTATTTGCAACATTGTTGAGGCCAAGAAAAAAGAACCCCAGCAGACTAGATAAGTTTTGAGTGATATATTAATGATCTCCTAAAAGGAATTTTGTTATAAACAGTATTTCCATTGAAACAATGGAGTTGTGATTCATTTTATTCTTCTAATAAATGATGTCAAACATGAGGTAAGTTAAACATAAGCTCATAAGAAAGAATACTTTGTAAAGAATTGAACTGCTGATAAAAGTCGCAACCATATAACCACAGATAGTGCTCAGGCAAACAACCATTCCCACAGCTAAACATGAGTATATGAACCTGTCAAATGGAACAAATAATTTTGAATATATGATGTATCAATAAAAAATTTAGATAAAACTTAGCAGAACAAGAATGAAAAAGAACAGGACGACATGTTACAAAAAAACAAAAAACTCTCCAGTGCCATGTATTACATCCTATCTTATAAGTTGAAATTCTTCAATTAATTATGATTAATAAGACATGAATACAAATTTGATAAGTTCAACTATCAATATAAGAAAAGCTAATGTAGGGTCCATGAGGAATTCACAACTTATTCAAGTCTTAATTAGTTTTTTTAATTTTTGACTCCAAACAAAATCTAATATCATAAAAAACAGGAGAAAGTGGATAAAGTTTGGAAATGATCCACAAACTCATCCCTTGTTTAATAATTAGCTGAAGAAAACAAGAAAACAATAATCCATTAATCAGAACAAGCAAAGAAAAAACTGTTAAAGGTTTGAGAAAAGACTGTCGAAGACGTGTTTAATAAAGCACAGTGAGAATCGAAGGAAACAAAAATTAAAGAGAAGTTGAAGAATCAGTTGAGAAAAGCATATAATACAAATTAACAACTGAGAAACAAACTCTAAAGAAGAAAGTTACCATGGTCTGGGAATATAAGCAGTAGAAGGAAGCTCAGCGATGCCTTCAGTCCACTTCTTTTGAAGCCAGAGAGCGTAAACAATCATTCCAACAGCAAATAAGTTTGTAATAATGTTCACAATCTTTATAGAGGTGTGCAAGCAACACTGAGCGCAGATGGCCATTACTGATTGTCCTGCAGCTATCTCCTTACAGTTATTATATTACATTCAACAGCCGCATAATGTACGTTAGATATACTATCTATAAATTTAAAAAATAAAAAGAAAGAGAGAAAAGGAAACCTTATCTCTCATTTAAAACAATTCCAATTAGGTGTGGTGGGACGGGTTAACGAGTGGGAATGGTGGGGACTGTGATATTAATGAAAATAATTATATAGGAGTAGGACATAGCAGAGAGAGAGAGACAATGATGTAGAAATTCGTGGGAAACATGTGCTCATGTATTTGTGGAAGAACTCAAAGGGCAGATGTGAGAGTGTTGAACGTTTGATGGTTGATGCAGCAAGTATCTTAACTACCATTCAGCATGCTTTCGTTTGTTATATTACACAATTCGCCGCTTCATGTGGAGGACCTTGAGCTTTCTTCATTCGCATCAATTTATTTGCGTCTTACTTCTTCACTGCTCAATAAAATTTGCTTCTTTTAGCTAAACACTCTTTTAATAACCAACCCGCGGTGAAACATGACAAAGTTTCCGGGTCCCTGGTCAACCAGTCAAACTAGATGTCAAAAAATTTAAAATTCAATAAATACACCCCTAAAAATTCTCAATTCCCTATATGTTTGAAATTTAGCAAACACACTCCAAATACAAATCGACGGTTGACTAATTGACAATGATGACACACCAAATACAATTTCAATCATCCCTTGAGCTCATTCCCTGGAAAATCTACCCATGATTTTACCGAAATCGACCAATTTCGGCTAAATCTCACCAATGACAACGTCGATTGATTTCGATCAAATCTCATCACCGTCGGCTTCGACAACTCTCTCCATTACCACGAAAATACTCCCCTCAGCTTCCTGACCAAAACTCATCTGACCCCACCCTTGTTTACCTCACCAATCATCGACAAAAGTCAACTGTTTTTTTTTTTTTCAATTTTTATCGATTAACTCACCAGAAATCACTTTTATCACCACCATTATACTCACCGGTACTTTCTCTTCAAAAACCCTAACATCCTAACCTTTAATTGTTCATCGATCATCATCCCAAATTCTAAGATTTAGGTGAACAGAAAAATTGTTAACCCAACTTAATTAAGGTCCCAAGTCCTCATTCAACTGGCTAGGCCAGGTTGTAAAAAACTATGTACAATAAATAGTTTTGGCATTGAAAGAACTTTGACAGGATGCAAGACGCAAGAAACAGAAAAAACCGAACCACAAAAACAAGTCATGATCCATGCAACACCTGCAGCGTATCCAATATAATATGGTACCACATGTTATTTAACGAAGCAAAACCTCAAACAATCTGTCATTCATTAATGGTGTACAAATAAAAAATTATCACCATTAACCACTATTTAAAAATCGGATCGGACCGGCCGATCCAACCGACTGGACCGTGAACCGGTCACGTGTCTGGTTTGGGTCACCTTTAAAAACCTATTATACATTGAACCGTTTTTAAACGGATAATAGCAGTGAACCGCCGGTCCAACCGAACCAGTGGAAAAACCGGTCACAATTTACAACCCTAACAAGAGCAATCTTCTTCTCTGTCACGCAGCCCTTTCTGGCTTTCTCATCTTCTTCTCCAGTTCTGTCACGCAGCCCTTCTATCTTTTCTCTTCAGTCTTTCTCACTTTTTTCTCACGAAAATTTCTCAGCAAACACTCTAATCTCTGCGAAAATTCTCACGGTTTCGGCTCTGTTTCTGTTCTCTCTGAATCCCACCAAATTGCATTGAACTCTCTGAAATCGACGACGACATCTTCCCCCTGCGGAAATCGACGAGTCTTTCTCCCTCGCTAGAAATTGATGACGTCTTCTTCCCCTCGCTGGAAATTGACGACGCTTCCTCCCTCATCGAAAATCGATGACGTCTTCTCCTTGCTGGAAATGACGGCGAGCTCCATTCGTCGATCCAGGTAACGCCATTCCTCGCTCCTTTACATTTAGTTAACACCTTTACATTTTTCAGTGTAGAGCTGTGTGGTGTGTATTGTAACAATACTTGTTTACCTTGAGTGAATCTTTGTTCATAAGTTGCTGTTTTTGACCCTTGATTGTTGCTGGATGTCTGATTTTTGTTGTTATTAGGATGATATCAAAGATAAAATTAGTGATGCGTTAGATGAGGCTGCAAATAATTAATGTTTTAGCTGCAAATACTACTGTGGGAAAACTGTAATTCTAGGAGTGTTGTGGTGTAGATATTTTAAATTTAAATTTAAACAGAACCTTGATATAGGAGTTATCCTAGGAGTCAGTGTGGACTAATATTCTAATTTCAAATCTGATTGTATCAGATTAAGTTGATCCCTTTAATGGGGCTGCCTTGTACACTTTACGTTAGAAGTGAATGAAACATTTGGTTTCTCCAAAATTCTTCATGGTATCAGAGCCGAACTGATCCCTATCCAGAAAGGTAGAGAAAACCAGAGTCCCTAACCCAGCCGAAACATCAAACAAACACCATGTCTGATCTTTCAGGTGAAAACACTTCCAAAAGCCCTGAAACAAACCCCACTCCTGTGCTATTTCCCAAACAGCATCTCATCATGCTCCTCAGCCGAAAACCCCTCACTACAAATCACCTCAACATAAGCTGAATGGGCAGAACTATCTCCATGGTCCCGTTCTGTCACCATGTTTGTCCGAGGTCGAGGGAAATACGGCTATCTCTCGGGCACCACTACAGCCCGCCAGAATCAGATCCCTCATACCCTACTTGGGAGGCTGAAAAACTCCATGATGATGGCCTGGTTAATCAACTCTATGGAACCAATATAGGTCGGGTATATCTGTTTCTTCCTACTGCCAAAGCCATATGGGAAGTGCTGCCGAAACTTATTCTGATGGTAATGCTGCACAGCTATTTGAAGTCACTCAACGGGTTCGTCGAATCAGACAGGGGGAGCTCTCAGTCACTCAATACTACAGCATTCTCAAAGGGCTGTGGCAAGAGGCTGATCAGTATCGACAGGTGAAAGGGAGTGTGCTGCTGACAGTAAGTTGTACAGCAAGATGCTTGAACAAGAGCGCATTTTTGAGTTTCTGATCGGTCTAACCGAGACTAGATGATGTACGAGGTCGAATAATTGGAAAAGAACCCCTGCCTTCTGTTCCTAAAGTCTTTGCCGCTGTCGTCGGGAAGAAAGCCGTCGGTTTGTGATGATGGGAGGAAACCAGCCTACTATACCTATTGATAAATCTGCATTGGTTACCGATTCTGCCTTAACAACTCAACAGCGTTACAATCGAAGGAGTGACAATGACGCCCTTGGTGTGACCATTGCCACAAAGTCGGACATACAAAGAAACCTGTTGGAAGCTGCATGGTAAACCAGCGCACCTGAAGACAAATAAGGTAGCTGAGAGCAATAATCGTGCTTTCATGTCACAGAAGACACCCAATCTATTCATTCAGGCTCTCAGACTGGTTCTCAAGACTTAGTCATCTCCAAGGAGCAATGGGATCTTTTCAGGACCTGATTCAGAAGACCAAAACATCAGCTGAATCCACTTAATCCATCTTGCTCCTTAGCAGGTATGAACACAACTCTCGCATCCCTTGGATAATAGATTCAGGGGCGTCAGACCACATGACTGGTTTATCTAATCGTTTACCTCCTATTTTCCTTGTCGGGTAATATCAAAGTTCGAATAGCCGATGGATCTCTATCAGCCATAGCAGGAAAAGGAAAATTTCTATCTCTCAAAATCTTACTCTTAATTCTGTGTTACATGTTCCCAAACTACTTGTAACTTGTTTTCAGTCGCAAATTTACTAAAGATCAGAACTGTGTTGCTAACTTTTATCCTACCTACTGTGAGTTTCAGGACTTGATCTCGGGGAAGAGGATTGGCAGTGCTAGGTGGAGAATGGTCTGTATATTTTGACGAAGAATCAAGCTTAGGTAAACAAGTTCAAGTCGCAAATAAGTCTTCACTTCTCTTGAAGACGATGATATGGCATCGTAGATTAGGACATCCCAGTTTTGTATTTTAGCAAAATATTTCCTGTTTTATTTTCTAATAAAGACCCTTCCTATTTCAATGTGAGATTTGTGATTGCAAAACATCATAGAGCAACTTTTCGCTCAAAATTTATGAAAAATCTTCGCCTTTTAATCTTATTCATAGCGATCTCTGGGGTCCATCCCGTGTTCAAATATTTCGGGTACAAGATGGTTTATATCTTTTAGTGATGATCATACTTGTTTAACATGGATATAACTATTAAAAGACAAATCTGAACGGTTCAACGCTTTCAAAATTTTTACAACATGATTAAAACCAATTTGGTGTTTCTATTCAACTTTTTCGAACGGATAATGGTCGTGAATATTCTCTAATGTACTCGGTAATTTCTTATCTGAAAAAGGAATCATTCATCAATCCTCATGGTGTCGATAGTCCTCAACAAAATGGTCTTGCGAAAGGAAAAATCGGCATCTCTTAGAGTGGCTAGGGCATAATGTTCACAATCAAGTTCCAAAATATCTTTGGGGGGAAGCTGTTTGACTGCTGCATACTTAATAACGTATGCATTAAAGTTCTAATTTTCAAACACCCATTCAAATATTTAACAAATTCTATCCAAATACGAAGTATTACACTCTTTACCCTAAAAACATTTGGTTGCCAAGCCTTCGTTCATATTCACAATCAATTTCGAAGCAAACTTGATCCTAAGGCCACTAAATGTGTTTTTTTGGGGTATCTCCTACTAAAAAAGGATACAAGTGTTTTGATCCCATCTCAAAAAATTCTTTGTGTCAGCCGATGTCACTTTTTTGAAAATCTTCCTTACTTTCCAAAACTCTTCAGGGGGAGATAAGCTCACAATCAGAATCAGAAGAGAAGTTTTGGGAATCAGAATCAACAGAATCAGTTCCTAATATCTCTTCTGAAATCTCTCCTGAAATCTCTCCTCAAATCTCCCCAAATTTCTCTCCAGTTCAAAATTCGAGACACTCAAACTTCTCCATCAATCTCTCTAAACAAAACTAAATTCAGATTTTCAATTCCTCCAAAAATCAGCAAACTGAAAATTCAAAGAGTCCTAGGAACTTAGCAGATATTTCTCCAAAAACTCCAAAAAATTTTGTTCCAATCCGGTGCCAGAAAATCGCAAAAAGGGGGAGGAGTCTAACTGCCCTGAACTTCGTGTTTTTCAAGGCGAAAGAATCCTAACAGGATAATGCAGACCTTTCACCCATACAAATCTGCCCTATCCTTCAGCCGAGATTGAGGAATCAAACGAACAGGTATGATCTAAATCTACCCATAGCAACCAGAAAAGAAGTAAGAACCTGCACACAACATCCCATTGCTAAAACACCATCTTATCACAGATTATCTCCTGCCTATTTGTCTTTGCTCTCAATCTGGCTTCGTAGAAATACCCAAGAATATGAAGAAGCTTTGAGGAAACAAGAGTGCGGTGAGGCCGTAATGGAGGAGATGAAGGCATTGGAAAAACTGGAACCGGGAGATTGTTAAATCAGCAGAAGGCAAGGTTCCCGTTGCTGTAAATGGGTTTTCACTCTCAAGTACAAGGCGATGGATCGATTGACCGTTACTAGGCAGGCTGGTTGCCAAAGGGTACACACGACTTACGGTATCGACTACCAGGAGACCTTTGCACCTGTAGCAAAGATGAAACAGTCAAAGTGATCATGTCCATAACAGCAAATCAAGATTGGCCACTCCACCAGCTTGAGTAAAAAATGCTTTTCAATGGAGAGCTAGTAGAAGAGGTGTATATGTCACCCCTCCAGGATTCGAGAAACACTATGGAAAAGACAATGTATGCAGGCTAAAAAGATCACTATACGGTCTAAAGCAGTCACCAAGGGCCTGGTTTGACAGATTCTCAAGAGCAATCAAAGGTTTTGGGTTTGAACAAAGTCAAGCTGACCACAACTGTTTCTGAAGTATTCAGCAGGGAGAATCACTGTTTTTATGTGATATGTTGACGACATAATAGTGACAGGTAATGACAGTAAAGGTGTTCAAGAGGTTAAGGAGTATTTGGGAAGGAATTCGAAATCAAAGATCTTGGTTATTTGAAGTATTCTTAGGATGGAGTAGCAAGATCAAAATCTGGTATTGCAGTCCGCAAAGAAGTATACACTGGATCTACTCAAGGAGGTCGGATGCTGATGCAAGCCTGGTGAGGTTCCTATTGAACAAACTTAAACTAAAGGTTAGTGGAGATAAGAAACAGACCAATAAGGAGAGGTATCAAGAGACTAGTCGGGAAACTCATTTACTTATCTCACACTAGACCGATATCGCCTTCTCGGTTAGTGTGGTCAGTAACACATGCACTTTCAACAGACGAACATCTGGAAGCTGTGTATAGATTTAAGGTATTTGAAGAGAACACCTGGTAGAGGATTGCTTTCACTAATAAGCATCATTGAAGATTGAAGCTTATACAGATTCAGATTGGGTGGATGTATCAATGACAGGAGGTCAACGACAGGTTTTTGTACATGTGGCAGGTAATCTGGTCACTTGGTGAAGGAAAAAACAAACTGTTGTGGCGCGAAGCATGTGCGAGGCAGAATTCAGGGCTGCAGCTCAAGGCATGTGTGAACTGTTGTGGCTTAAAAAGCTAGTCAAAGAAATGGGTATCAAAGTTGAAGGACCTATGAAGTTTTCTGCGACAACAGGCAACAATTAACATTTCACAATCCTGTTCAACACGGCAGAACTAAACATGTTGAAATTGATAGACATTTCATTAAGGAGAAGTTAGAAGAAGGAGTTGTCTGTATGCCCTACGTCCTACAAAAGAACAGTTGGTGATTTGTTTACAAAAGGGTTGCAGAAACAGACATTTGAAGATTAGTGAGCAAGCTAGGTCTTTACGATATATACAAACCAGCTTGAGGGGGAGTGTGGGAAAACACGTGTAATTCTAGGAGTGTTGTGGTGTAGATATTTTAAATTTAAATTTAAACAGAACCTTGTATATGGAGTTATCCTAGGAGTAGTGTGTGACTAATATTCTAATTTCAAATCTGATTGTTACAGATTAAGTTGATCCCTTTAAAGGGGTGCCTTGTACACTTTACGTTAGAAGTGAATGAAACATTCGGTTTCTCCAAAATTCTTAACTACAATCAGCATTAGAGCCATCAATTTCAGGCATCTAGTTATAATTGATGAATGAGTCCTTATTTGGCATTTTAGGTCACTTTTATACCTGTCCTATTAGGCTGCAGAATTAATTCTAGAATATAAGGCTTGTGCAGGAGTTAATAAACTCCTTTAATCTTATCATAGGGTGTCAACAAGGGTCTTGTCGCGGAACGCCTACTTGCAGCCAGAAACATAATGACATGCTTCCAGATTTTGTTCTCTGTATTGGGGATGACCGATCGGATGAAGACATGTTTGAGGTGATAATGAATGCCCGCACTGGTCCATCGCTGTCTCCAATTGCTGAAGTTTTTGCTTGCACAGTTGGCCAGAAACCCAACAAACGAAGTATTACTTAGATGACACTTCTGAGATATTGAGAATGTTACAAGGCCTCGCCGGGTTTCAGAACAGGCTGCTGTGCATCCCAAGCTTCTCAAAGACCCGTTATCGACCGAGAATAATTAGACCCGATGACCCAGGCTCCCTGAGCTCTTTCTCCAATGTACATTGGGTTTGTTTCATTCTCAAATTAGGTGTTTTCATTTACTATTTATTAGATATAGTAAGTTTTCCACTGTTATTATTGCACAGTTTATGTAGCCCCATTGCTAGTAGATGAATTGAACTCTTATTGTTGTTGTTCATGGCTTCTTATGTTTCTGATTTGTCGGCTAGTTATGATTCTCTTAAATTGTCATTGTTTACCCACCATTTATGTTTACATTTTCAAATTTTTATTTTATTTTCGAATTTATTTTTATAATAAAAACACCAAATCTTTTATAAATAAATGAATATATCTATTTAAAATTGTTTTTTTTTAAAATGTGCTACGTCATTATGAGTGTGATGATGTTAACGGTCCAATCGGTTGGACCGTGATCACCCATCAGAACGGGTTACCCTCCGATTCGATTTTTAAAACAATGCCATAACAGAGAGATCTGACAGAATTAATACCCTTTTAGCTTAACTGAATTCAAAACTCTCTTCATCCCCGCTTTTCGTTACAAGTAAAAATCAAATTCAATATTTTTCTTTTTCAACACAATGTGCATACTATCAAAGTTTAAAATTTCCTCGCTAACCTCAAAAAATATTACAATTTCACAAAATTAATAACTTCTCTAATCAATGGCAGATTAACAGGCTGACAACACAAACTTGGTTAAGAAACCAATTCAATCCTTGTGGTTGTGGTGCCCCTCGTAAAACACAGTTTATCATTTAAATTAATAAGAATGTGGCGGCGAAAATTACAACGCAAAGCTAAAGAAATCTCACTAACTCAAAAGGCAAGAAAATGCCAACTAAGTCATACAAAATCTCTGCCAAGTAGTATCAAATGAATAAAACAAGTAACTGGAAGAGGCAAGAAGTGATGAGCAACTCAGTCCAGCTTTACCCAGTCCATATCATTTATCACCCCTTCAAGCTGAATACATTAAAAGAAAAACAAAACATTGTCAGATACATATCTGCAAAGGGTGTAGCTCACCATAAAAACATAAGGGCATACCTTGACAATCTGCCGCAGGAAGTAATCACCATATCGCTTCACAGGTTTGGATTCAACAACATGAACCATATCCTACAATAATTGAGAGGATAAGTACAGTGCCAGAGAATAAATGCTCCTATAAAGAATCTCTACAGTGTACCTTCATAATATCCTCCACAACATTATGAGTAATTTTATTCTACACAGAATAGCCTATATATAATCACAATCTTTGTTTAACTGATATATCAGATAATTTACACACTATTATTTTTTTATTTGCACTAGTTCAAAATTTGGAACTTCTGAAACTTGTTTGTACGTGTGTGTGTGTGTCTTCATACGTGTGGTTATCACCAAGCCAAAAGAACACATGGTCAGAAATGTATAGTTGCCAACTTGCTACTTCCAGTAAAAAGAACATGCAATTAACATGATCTCTGATATTCTGAAAAAGGACGTAACATAAGTAAAATAATAATAATAATAATAATAAAAAATACCATAAAATGGACTTACGTCATCAATGTAGAAATCCACATCTGCATTTGAGATAATCTTTCCATCGGAATCAACAGCATGAGTCTTGTGCTTGTAAGTCATCAAGATAGTCCTAAAACACATTATAGAAAGAAACTCAGAACATCACTTCCAATAAGATTAGCATGAAAAGAAGAAAGAAACCAAAAACAAAGTCTACCTCAGAGTCGGCTCATCCACTTCCATGTAATTTGCAAGCTTCCCAAGAGAAATTGTTGAGTAAACTTTCAAGAATGTCCGGACACCTGATAACAACTGTTGCTGCTTTACTTCATAAAGGAACAACTTCAACTGGAGTCTATAGGCATCCTGCACAAAAATAGATGCCATTCGGTTAATGAGACATATCCCAAATTAAATTATCCTAATAAGTTTGATTAACCTCACACTACAAAATGGACAGTTTAAAAAAAAAAAAGTTTACAAAGGTTGCAGAAACAGACATTTGAAGATTAGTGAGCAAGCTAGGTCTTTACATATATACAAACCAGCTGAGGGGGAGTGTGGGAAAACACGTGTAATTCGAGAGTGTTGTGGTGTAGATATTTTAAATTTAAATTTAAACAGAACCTTGTATATAGGAGTTATCCTAGGAGTCAGTGTGTGACTAATATCTAATTTCAAATCTGATTGTTATCAGATAAGTTGATTCCCTTTAAATGGGGCTGCCTTGTACACTTTACGTAGAAGTGAATGAAACATTCGGTTTCTCCAAAATTCTTCAACTACAATCAGCATTCGCCATCAATTTCAGCTCTAGTTATAATTGATGAATGAGTCCTTTATGGCTTTTAGGTCACTTTTATACCTGTCCTATTAGGCTGCAGATTAATTCTTAGAATATAGGCTTGTGCAGTGAGTTAATAAACTCCTTTAATCTTATCACTAGTGTCAACAAGGGTCTTGTCGCGGAACGCCTACTTGCAGCCAGGCAACATAATGACATGCTTCCAGATTTTGTTCTCTGTAGTGGGATGACCGATCGTGAAGACATGTTTGAGGTGATAATGAATCCCCACTGGTCTCGCTGTCTCCAATGCTGAAGTTTTTGCTTGCACAGTTGGCCAAAACCCACACAAGCGAAGTATTACTTAGATGACACTTCTGAGATATTGAGAATGTTACAAGGCCTCGCCGAGGTTTCAGAACAGGCTGCTTGTGCATCCCAAGCTTCTCAAAGACCCGTTATCAACCGAGAATATTAGACCCGATGACCCCCAGGCTCCCTGAGCTCTTTCTCCAATGTACATTGGTTTGTTTCATTCTCAAATTAGGTGTTTTCATTACCTTATTTATTAGATATAAGTAAGTTTTCCTACTGTTATTATTGCACAGTTTATGTACCCCATTGCTAGTAGATGAATTGAACTCTTATTGTTTGTTGTTCATGCTTCTTATTGTTCTGATTTGTCGGCTACTTATGATCTCTTAAATTGTCATTGTCTACCACCACCATTTATTTTTACATTTTCAAATTTCTTATTTTTATTTTCGAATTTATTTTTATAATAAAAACACCAAATCTTTTATAATATGAATATATCTATTTAAAAATTGTTTTTTTTAAATGTGCTAACTTCATTATGATGTGTGATGATGTTACCGGTCCATCGGTTGGACCGTGATCCAACCATCAGAACGGGTTACCCTCCGATTCGATTTTTAAACATGCCATACAGAGAGATCTGACAGAATTAATACCCTTTTAGCTTAACTGAATTCAAAACTCTCTTCATCCCCCCCCCATCAATCCTCATGTGTCGATAGTCCTCAACAAAATGGTCTTGCCGAAAGGAAAAATCGGCATCTCTTAGAAGTGGCTAGGGCATTAATGTTCACCAATCAAGTTCCAAAATATCTTTGGGGGGAAGCTGTTTTGACTGCTGCATACTTAATTAATCGTATGCCATCTAAAGTTCTCAATTTTCAAACACCCATTCAAATATTTAACAAATTCTATCCAAATACGAAGTTATTACACTCTTTACCCCTAAAAACATTTGGTTGCCAAGCCTTCGTTCATATTGACAATCAATTTCGAAGCAAACTTGATCCTAAGGCCACTAAATGTGTTTTTTTGGGGTACTCTCCTACTAAAAAAGGATACAAGTGTTTTGATCCCATCTCAAAAAAATTCTTTGTGTCAGCCGATGTCACCTTTTTTGAAAATCTTCCTTACGTCTCCAAAACTCCTCTTCAGGGGGAGATAAGCTCACAATCAGAATCAGAAGAGAAGTTTTGGGAATCAGAATCAACAGAATCAGTTCCTAATATCTCTCCTGAAATCTCTCCAAATATCTCTCCTGAAATCTCTCCAAATATCTCTCCAGTTCAAAATTCGAATGACACTCAAACTTCTCCATCAATCTCTCTAAACCAAAACTCAAATTCAGATTTTTCAATTCCTCCAAAAAATCAGCAAACTGAAAATTCAAAGAGTCCTAGGAACTTAGCAGATATTTCTCCAAAAACTCCAAAAAATTTTGTTCCAATCTCGGTGCCAGAAAATCGCAAAAAGGGGGAGGAGTCTAACTGCCCTGAACTTCGTGTTTTTACAAGGCGAAAGAATCCTAACAGGATAATGCAGACCTTTCCACCCATACAAATACTGCCCTATCCTTCAGCCGAGATTGAGGAATCAAACGCAACAGGTAATGATCTAAATCTACCCATAGCAACCAGAAAAGAAGTAAGAACCTGCACACAACATCCCATTGCTAAATACACATCTTATCACATATTATCTCCTGCCTATTTGTCTTTTGCTCTCAATCTGGCTTCTGTAGAAATACCCAAGAATATTGAAGAAGCTTTGAGGAAACAAGAGTGGCGTGAGGTTGTAATGGAGGAGATGAAGGCATTGGAAAAAACTGGAACCTGGGAGATTGTTAAATCAGCAGAAGGCAAGGTTCCCGTTGGCTGTAAATGGGTTTTCACTCTCAAGTACAAGGCTGATGGATCGATTGACCGTTACAAGGCACGGCTAGTTGCTAAAGGGTACACACAGACTTACGGTATCGACTACCAGGAGACCTTTGCACCTGTAGCAAAGATGAACACAGTCAAAGTGATCATGTCCATAACAGCAAATCAAGATTGGCCACTCCACCAGCTTGACGTAAAAAATGCTTTTCTCAATGGAGAGCTAGTAGAAGAGGTGTATATGTCACTCCCTCCAGGATTCGAGAAACACTATGGAAAAGACAATGTATGCAGGCTAAAAAGATCACTATACGGTCTAAAGCAGTCACCAAGGGCCTGGTTTGACAGATTCTCAAGAGCAATCAAAGGTTTTGGGTTTGAACAAAGTCAAGCTGACCACACACTGTTTCTGAAGTATTCAGCAGGGAGAATCACTGTGTTAATTGTATATGTTGATGACATAATAGTGACAGGTAATGACAGTAAAGGTGTTCAAGAGGTTAAGGAGTATCTTGGGAAGGAATTCGAAATCAAAGATCTTGGTTATTTGAAGTATTTCTTAGGGATGGAAGTAGCAAGATCAAAATCTGGTATTGCAGTCACGCAAAGGAAGTATACACTGGATCTACTCAAGGAGGTCGGAATGCTAGGATGCAAGCCTGGTGAGGTTCCTATTGAACCAAACTTTAAACTAAAGGTTAGTGGAGATAAGAAACAGACCAATAAGGAGAGATATCAAAGACTAGTCGGGAAACTCATTTACCTATCTCACACTAGACCCGATATCGCCTTCTCGGTTAGTGTGGTCAGTCAACACATGCACTCTCCAACAGATGAACATCTGGAAGCTGTGTATACGATTTTAAGGTATTTGAAGAGAACACCTGGTAGAGGATTGCTTTTCACTAATAAGCATCCATTGAAGATTGAAGCTTATACAGATTCAGATTGGGCTGGATGTATCAATGACAGGAGGTCAATGACAGGTTTTTGTACATATGTGGCAGGTAATCTGGTCACTTGGCGAAGTAAAAAACAAACTGTTGTGGCGCGAAGCAGCGCTGAGGCAGAATTCAAGGCTGCAGCTCAAGGCATGTGTGAACTGTTGTGGCTTAAAAAGCTAGTCAAAGAAATGGGTATCAAAGTTGAAGGACCTATGAAGCTTTTCTGCAACAACAAGGCAGCAATTAACATTTGTCACAATCCTGTTCAACACGACAGAACTAAACATGTTGAAATTGATAGACATTTCATTAAGGAGAAGTTAGAAGAAGGAGTTGTCTGTATGCCCTACGTCCCTACAAAAGAACAGTTGGCTGATTTGTTTACAAAAGGGTTGCAGAAACAGACATTTGAAGATTTAGTGAGCAAGCTAGGTCTTTACGATATATACAAACCAGCTTGAGGGGGAGTGTGGGAAAACACGTGTAATTCTAGGAGTGTTGTGGTGTAGATATTTTAAATTTAAATTTAAACAGAACCTTGTATATAGGAGTTATCCTAGGAGTCAGTGTGTGACTAATATTCTAATTTCAAATCTGATTGTTATCAGATTAAGTTGATCCCTTTAAATGGGGCTGCCTTGTACACTTTACGTCAGAAGTGAATGAAACATTCGGTTTCTCCAAAATTCTTCAACACCCTACCTATAGAAAAGTTTTAAAATTGACAAAATACGCTTGGCCACCCAATACAACTGCCGGCCTTTACTCACCACCACTGGTTGCCTGCATCAGTCGTCGTAATGGTGCACGACTGACGAGATTTAGCATGTCGTATGCCAATAAGACATTTTCCAGCCATGGATCTGTGATTCATGGTCGAAAACAGCTAGATCTTACCGTTTCTATGGCCGTTTCATAGCCAAAGATATGACCATCAAATGGCCATAGATATGATTGTGAAACGGCCACAGATATGGCTGTTTCACGGTCAGATCTGTGGCTGCCTTTGGCTGTGAAAAGACCATAGATCTAGCCGTGAAATGGTCATGGATTTGTGATCCATGGCCGGAAATGGCTTTGTCGGTTCATGGCCAGCCATATACCGCCAGTCATGCACCATTACGTCGACTGTTGACGGTGGTGGCTTGCTGCTGGTAGTGGCTTGGGGTGGATGATAGTGATTTTGTTATAAATTAAAATTTTATATGACTAGAGTGTTTTAGCAAAATTTTAAATGTAGGTAGTTAAAAAAAATTATTCAAAAAATAATAATAATAAATAATATTATATTAATATTTAAAAAAGAGGGCAATTTAGTAATCTATATAACATACACACCCATTTATCCTCCTAACCAAATATATTATTCACCAATTTATTCAAACCAACTAAACACATTTTTTAGAAAGTCCCGATAATCTTTAAAGCAATTTATTTTTTTATTAATATAATATCTCTTATAAT